ACCTCAAACTCCTGGGCTCAAGTGTTCCTCCTGCCTCAGCTTCCCAAATAACTAGCATTAAAGTCATGCATCACTATCTCTGGCTAATTTTAAAATTTTTTATAGAGGCAAGGGTCTCACTGTATTGCCCAGGCTGGTCTTGAACTCCTGGCTTCAAGTGATCCTCCTGCCACAGCCTCCCAAAGTGCTGGATAAGCATGAGCCATTGTACCCACCCCAAAACTGCTCTTACCAAATAACTTATTTTTTCTAAGCCTAGCAGTAACTTCTCAGTCCTCATATCACACAGTCTATCAGCAGCAGTTAACTCTTCCTCCTTACAACATTTTGTTTACTTGATTTCTAGACACTATGTAGATTTTCCCTCTACCTCCTCATTCACTCCTTCGTAGCCTCCTTTATTGGTTTTTCCTCATCTCCTTGATCACTAAAAATGTTAGGGCTTCAATGCTCAGTCTTTAGACTTCATCTCATCTCTTTTTCTGTCTATACTGATTTGAATTCACCAAGTCTCATGGCTTTATAATGCAGGTGGTAATCTGCATGCTGGTAACTCCCAAATTTATAGGTCTGTCCTAGTCCTCTCTCCAAACTCCAGTTGCATATGTTCTGTCTATTCAACCTTTCTACTTACCTGTCTAACAAGTATCTCAAAGTTACCATGTCTAAAACTGAATTTCCATTTCTCTCTTCTATATTTTCCCCTCCTCCATTTTTCCATGTCTTTGTAAATGGCAACTTTCTTTTTTTTTTGGGGGGTGATGGAGTTTCACTCTTATTGCCCAGGATGGAGTACAGTGGCACAATCTCAGCTCACTGCAGCCTCTGCCTCCTGGGTTCAAGTGATTCTCCTGTCTCAGCCTCCTGAGTAGCTGGGATTACAGGCATATACCACCATGCCCTGCTAATGTTTTGTATTTTTTAGTAGAGATGGAGTTTTACCATCTTGGCCAGGCTGGTCTTGAACTCTTGACCTCATGATCCACCTGCCTTGGCCTCCCAAATTGCTGGGATTACAGGCGTGAGCCACCTCGCCCAGCCGTAAATGGCAACTTTCTTACTCTGTTTGCTTAAACCAAAACCCTTCAAATCACCTGTGACTCAATTTTTTCTCCCACATCTTACATTTAATAGTGAGTCCTTTATCTTTGGATACATGAACTGATCACTTTTTAAAAAAAATTTTTGAGATGGAGTCTTGCTCTGTTGCCCAGGTTGGAGTGCAGTGGCACGATCTCTGCTCACTGCAACCTCTGCCTCCCAGGCTCAAGCGTCAGCCTCCGGAGTAGCTGGGATTACAGGTGCCTGCCACCATGCCTGGCTAATTTGTCATATTTTTAGTAGAGATGGGGTTTCTCCACGTTGACTAGGCTGATCTTGAACTCCTGACCTCAAATGATCCACCTACCTTGGCCTCCCAGAGTGCTGGGATTACAGGCGTGACCCACTGTGCCTTGTAATTACGGCACACTGATCACTTTCTACCTCCTCTACATGGCTGTTTCCTGTCTTTACAGTTACTACCTTTGTTCAAGCCACCATCATCTCTTGCTGGATAACTACAATGGCTTTCTAACTGTTCAGAGTGCTTTAGCCCTTGCCCCATAGCCTATTTTGCTTTTAGAGTGAAATGAAAGCAAGTTTATTAAGAAAGTAAAGGAATAAAAAAATGGCTACTTCATAGGCAGAGCAGCCCCTTTCCCCTACAGTCTATTACTAACACAGGAAGCAGGCTATTTAAGTATAAGTCAGATTAGGACATCCCCAAACAGTTCTTCAGTGGCTTCCCATCACTGAAAAACTGGTCTTTACAATGGCTTTCAAGAGTTCACACAGTCTTGTCTTTATTCTCCCCAGCAACTATAATCTCATCTTCTAATCCTATTTCCTGCTACGTACCCCTTGTTTACTTCCCTTCAGAAGACTGACCTCTCATTTCTGGGACATGCTAATTATACTTCTACCTTAAGATATTTGCACTTTTTGATCTTTTCACACGGAATATTTTTCCCTTCGGTGTCAGTATTACTTGGTTTCTTTCATTTAGTCTTGACTCAAATATTACTTTCTCATAAGATCTTCCCTGGCCACCTTATTTTAAATTGCCTCCCTCTCAGCATTTCCTGTTCACTCTTCTCTCTTTGTTTTTTCAAAACATGTATCCCCATCTCACATATCTTATATTTCACATATTTGTTGTCTGTTTCCTCCATTAGTGTATATGCTCAAGGAGGGGGGAATTTTTCTGTTTTGCCTACTGCTGAAGGCCCAGTGTCATAAAGTAGTTAGCCATCAATAAGTATCTATTCAATACATAAATGAAGTAGTTTTTTTTTTTAACTTTTATTTTAGATTCGGGGTACATGTGAAGGTTTGTTAGATATGTAAACTTATGTCATAGGGGTTTGAGGTACAGATTATTTCATCATCGAGGTATTAAGCCTGGTACCCAGTAGTTATTTTTTCTGCTCCTCTCTCTCCTCCTATCCTCCACCCTCAAGTAGACCCTAGTATCTGTTGTTCCCTTCTTTGTGTTTGTCAGTTCTTATCATTTAGCTCCCACTTTTAAGTGAGAACCTGCGGTATTTGGTTTTCTGTTCTTGTGTTAGTTTGTTAAGGATAATGGCCTCCAGTGCCAACCATGTTGCCACAAAAGACATGATCTCATTCTTTTTTTATGGCCTCATAGTATTTCATGGTGTATATGTACCACATTTTCTTTCTCTAATCTGTCAAATGGGCATTTAGGTTGATTCTGTTTCCTATTGTGAATAGTGTTTCAATGAACATTTGTGTGCATGTGTCTTTATGATAGAATGATTTATATTTTCCTGGGTATATACCCAGTGATGATTACTGGGTCAAATGGTAGTTTTGTTTTTAGCTCTTTGAGGAATTGCCGTACTGCTTTCTACAATGGTTAAACTAATTTACTCTCCCACCAGTGATATATGAGCATTCCTTTTCTCCACAACCTCGCCAGCATCTGTTATCTTTTGACTTTTTGATAATAACCATTCTGACTGGTGTGAGATTACATTGTGGTTTTGATTAGCATTTCTCTAGTAATAAGTGATATTGAACTTTTTTTTAAATATACTTATTGGCTACATGTATGTCTTCTTTTGAAAACATACATGTCCTTTGCCCACTTTTTAATGGGGTTGTTCTCTTGTAAATTTGTTTAAATATCTTATAGATGCTGGATATTAGACCTTTGTCAGATGCATAGTTTGCAAATATTTTCTCACATTCAATAGGTTATCTGTGTACTATTTTGATAGTTTCTTTTGCTGTGCAGAAGTCCTTAAGTTTAATTAGATCCTGTTTGTCAATTTTTGCTTTTGTTGTGATTGTTTTTGGTATCTTTGTCATGAAATCTTTGCCTGTTCCTGTGCCCAGGATGGTATTGCCTAGGTTGTCTTCTAGGGTTTTTATAATTTTGAGTTTTACATTTAAGTCTTTAATCCATCTCAAGTTGATTTTTGTACGTTGTGTAAGGAAGTGGTCCAGGTTCGGTCTTCTGTGCATGGCTAGCCAGTTATCCTAGTGGTATTTTTAACTTACTAAGACTTTGCTGGTGATGCCGGAGATGAGATGGCTGTCCGTTGCGGGGTGGAGGATAAATTTGGGTAAAAATATTTCTGAAAATCACTTTTATAAAATTTAATACATATTTATTATGTTTTTCTCAGTTTACAATTCTGATGTAATTGACAAACAGAGTGCTTCCATGACCTCTGATAATGCAGATGACAAAGCTGTTATTATTCTAGTTCCTGTTAGACTTGGTGGAGAAAGAACCAACACCGACTACTTAGAGTTTGTGAAGGTATGAAATAAGTGCTGAATTTTTTTAAGGCAATCCTAGCTAATATGAAAAATATAGAAGTTTTGCAGTCTTTTTTCTATTAAATGAGTAGTGATGATTTTACAGTTGTACATTGTAAAATTTGACATTAGAGATTTTAAATTTCAGTGTTATAAGACCAATGTGAGTTGAAGAGCACAGTGTTCTATAACAAAATGAAAAGACTTTTAATTTTTGTAGCTAATCAGGGAGACACAGATACAGCAATAATCATAACCTGTAATATAGTTACAGTTTCATTATTCTTATTTGTAATTTTAAGTATGTATCTTTATTCATAAAACTAGCATTAAACTATATCACATTAATTACTGAAAAAAACCCTCTATTACTGCTATGTTATCTTATGATATGTTTGCTGTGACACCATGATGTCAATAAAAGATGAGATTATTTATGTAGATAGAAATAATGAAGATATGAAGATAGTATTTGGAGGGGTTCCCATTTTGTTTTTTTCATCTTAGCCAGTTGAAAATCTGTTCTTTTTTGGGACACATTGTTTGGTTTCTTGCACCAAAAAAACCTATGTAACTATGTTACCTTGTTTTGGGTACCAAGACACTTACTTAGGATAAAATACCTTTGAAATAGTTTCTATGATTAAGGTGGAAGTTTTTAGATTTTTTCATAGTTTCAATAAAATTCGTCACTTTTTTTTTTTTCTTTGAGACAGAGCTTTGCTCTTATTGTCCAGGCTGGAGTGCAATGGCGCAATCTCAGCTCACCACAACCTCCATCTCCTGGGTTCAAGCAATTCTCCTGCCTCAGCCTTCTGAGTAGCTGTGATTACAGGCATGCACTACCACTCCC